ATCTAGAAAACGAGGGGCTCCATTAGATGTCTTCTAAGGTGCTTTTCAGACCTATGATCCCACTTCCATCCTAGCAAATGGTATCATTACACAGCATAGCCTCTTTATCATCTGCTTCCATTCTTCTTCATATCATCAACAAAAAAATATTCTTTAACCACACATCTGCTCAAAATTATTCAGAGAGTACTTCTGAGTGCCCAGAAAAATTTAAATTCCTTTGGCATTCAAGGCCCTCCATGATTTGGTCATCTTCTGTATCCTTCCAGCCTTACCTTGTATTACTGCCTCCACACACTGCGCTCACATGGTTCCTTATTTCTGAATCCTTCCCTCCCTCTCTTCACCTGTTGAAATCCTGTCCATTAATGCACACTCTAATGTCACCTACTCTAGGAAGTCTTCTGTGATTCCTCTGGTTAGTAATGCTCTTCTCTAGAAGATGCTAATGCATTTGTCAATAAGCATTTATTAAGAGCCTACTATGTACCAGGCACTGGGAATATATACAAAATGAAAATTCTAACTGTAAAGTTAGCACATAACACTGTATATTATAGTGATTTGCATCTTATCCTCTCTACCAGACTTAAAGCTTGTGAGGGCAGGGATTATGGCTTAGTCATACTCTGTAGTACAAAGGCTACCACTACATACACTGTAGGTACTTAACAAATGTTTGTCATCTTGTGTTTTATCTGCTATGGTTTGCTGTTGGCTGAACTGATTTTTAAATATGCCAATGTTTTTTATGAATGTGAAGAGAGAGCTTGGACACAGCCCACCAGCCTGTGTAGGTCTCTGCTGAACTAGGGGAGTGTTTGTGGGAATCTAGCAGGCCGTGTGAGCTACTTTCAAAGTAGGAGTGTGTGGATGGGAGGAAGATAAACATTTAAGCACCTACTTTATGTCAGGCATTATGCTAAGCACTTTATAAATTTGATCCTCACAACAAACCTGGGAGGTAGGTATTACTATTACTCTTATTTTATAGATGAGGAAACTGAGGTAGAGGTTATGTGGCTTGCCCAGTGTCACACAGCTAGTAAATGTCTGAAGCTAAATTTGAACTCAGGTCTTCCTGACTCTAGGTTCAGCGCTTTAATCTTCTGTACCACCAAGGAGCCTCAAATTATTACGCCTTCATGTAAGTGAAGAAGGAAGTTGCCTGAGAACTTATGATACCCCAGTGAGGAGTAAGGGGCCTGTGAAAAGAAGAGTAGGAAGGAGACAGAGACAAAGGATAGGATGGAGAATGAAAGAGAGACTGAAGAACAAAACAGAGAGTAGGGTGGAGAATTCAAGGTCCAGAATGTAGCAGCAGGGACCAGAGCCTGCTGGAAAATTGAAAAAGCAGAAAAAAAGGGACATGGGGGGAAAACAGATTATCTAGAATGCTTTAGGAAAACAACAGGGCCTCAAGAAGGAAGACCATGACAGGAAAGGGATTTCTAGTGTCACAACTGTGATCAACAGGCTAGTTCATGACGGAGGTGACCACAAGAGTCAAATTCTGAATATGAGCAAAAAAGGGTAGACGTGGGGCCTAATTAAGAAGTTACCGAGTCCTCCAGAGACAATAACAAGATAGATACAGCTGCTCAATTCAGGAACAGCGGAAGGGGATGAGGGAGAGTTGAGTGGATTAGCCCAAAGTTATATAATTAAAAAGTTTTGGCCTAGGAAAGAGGTTAGTGAAATAAGAAAAACAGCACCTGGAGGGGACTGTGTCTAATTTCTATCCCCAACCCATCTGCTGTGATGGCAAAAGAGGAGGCAGGGGAGGCTGAGAATTTTTCACCTTCATTAAGCTGTCTGAAAAACATTAAACCATAACTTAGGAGAGATCTACACTGTTTATAGTTTGTGCCCTAATATTCCCTCATGCTTGAGAAAAAAAGTAGTGGTATACCTCCACAGGGGCAGGAAGAAAGATGACAAGTACTCCTGGAAAACCATGAGGGAGACCCCTATGCTGTGGCATCAAAAAAAGAAGAGAAGAGAATCCCTAGGCTAGGTATCATTTCATCATAGAAGAGAAGTAATGTGGGAAAAGTGACTTTTTGTCCTGTTCATCAATTGGTTCCTCTTGGAAGGTTTCTAAAAGGCAGCCATATCTTCTCTCTGACATCACGCCAATTCAACATATATTTTTTCCCTAATTTTCCAATTCTGAAAGCACTTTCTTATGTAACAAGTCAAACAAACAAAATACAAGGTTCAACTGAGTATTTGTAATGACCTCTATTGGTCCTAGAGAAGAGCAGAAATACCACCCTCCTTCTGGTTGAGAAGTGGAAGGATTATGAGTATGGAAAGTTGCATATGCTGTCAGATGAGATTACTGTTATTAGTTTTAACTGTTTTTCTTTTTTGTAAGGGAGAATTCATCTTTTCCATTAGCATGTACAGAAATTACTGTGATGTTAAAACAACTGGTAAATAAAACTTTAACAGTCTAGGGGGCAGAGATTTGGGCTTGGCCCTATGCTATTTACATTTCTGTTAGTGACTTAGATAAGAGCACAGGACACATTTACAGAATTTACAGACGACCCAAAGCTATGAGGGACCACAGAGATGTTAAATGACAGGATTCAAAAAAATCTGGATAGGTTAGAACATTGGGCCTTTATGAAAATCAATTGTAACGTTAGCTTACAATTTTTCTAGGATGTTTAGGCTTCAGAAGCCTAATGTATATTATTACCTTTCATTTACCAAGGCTTAGAGATATTCATTGACCTGCCCATGGTCAGCTAGGGCTGAAATTCAAAACCAGATCTCTTCACTTCAACAGCAATGCTCTTTTCCCCCATAGCCCTCATTGCCTCCCAGGTACTATGGTGCAACACACAGAAATCCTTGGGGCAATTCAGTCCAATTCAATTCAAATAGTATGGAGTTCATCCTGATACTAAATGACCCCAGGCTATATAATTCACTGTTATAGTGTTTGGTTTTCCAGTTCTCTGCCAAATCACTTTACTGTGGTATTGGCTGTCTCTGGATAATATGGATGGGTTATGTGCTTCCCTGCTTCCTGGAATCCCGATCTTTTGTTGCTCTATAATATCATTGCTAAGGAAACAGGATATTACCACTTAGACCTCCTACCTTCTCTGAGAAGCCTTCTGGTCCCCTTCAATGCTGGTGCCTTGATTATTCTCAATTCATCCTGTGGATATCTTGTTTGTACATAGTTGTTGGCATGTTTTCTCCCTCATTAGAATGGGAACTCCTTGAGAATAAGGGCTATTTTTGCTTCTATTTGCATTCTAGTGCTCAGCTGGCACATAGTATGTGCTTAATAAATGCTTATTGACTGACTGACATATAGTATAAACCCATTCATAACTGCACACATGAACATCTTGTAAAAATGACAGCACCATCCAAGGCAATAAGGTGGTCTCATTTCACACAAGATGGTCCAAAGCTCACTTTCAGTCCTTTTAAGAGAAGAATTCTGGTATCCAAGTGTGCTGATGCATGGGTTAACCATGAAGACATCCAGGAAGCATCAGGAGTTCATCAAAAGTAATTTAAGAGTCAAAACACAACACATGATCTTTATTCCTTTGAAACGCATTTATGTAAAAATGTATTAAGATGGATTAAAGATTCAGGACACATAATTTGTACTTAGCACATACACTGAAGATCAAAACAACGGCTAAAAAGAACATTTATAAACATTTTTTTTTTTAAAAAAACCAAGAGTTGTAGATGATCCAGCCTAACTCTGAAAAGAGTGGGTCGGGTTTTTCCCTTGCTGAATAGGCACGTACAAAAATCAAGAACCGCTGTATTTTAACCTAAAATTGATCAAACATAGAAAATCTCAAGACATTTTAAAAAAATCAGGATAGACCCTACTGCAACAAAAACGTCACAAAGGATGGCACTAGAATTTCTTGATTTTATAAATGGGTGAAATGAATACGGTTTGAGTCTGGTAGTTTTCAGGGACCAGAGGGAAAGCATATTGCTTCATTCTGCTCAGTTTAAAGCAGAAGTTAGACTAAGGTAGTAAGGTGGTTTCAGATACAGATTTCACCCCAAAGTAGCAAACAGGGTGGCTTCAGGCACTTCTGACAAGGGAGTGGCGCACACCTCATCCTGCACCCTGACACAACTACACAAAAGTCACCCCCTCCCCACATATACATTCATTTCATCAGATTCCCCAAATGCGTTGTGGATGGCAATGGTTTACCTTTTGAGAGAGTCCAAGCAGAAAAATGATACATTCTACCAATCCTTAGTTTGTATTCAGAATTATCTTTAAAAAAAAATCAGGCAAGATAGCAGCACCCATCATTAAGGCATTATTTTAAATGATTTATAGCAGCAACTACTACCCTTGGGGATAGCATGTGGTTATGATTAGTACAATCAATAAATCAAAAAGTGGTGATTGATGCTCTGCGAGATACAAAAAGTTTATTCTCCCTCTAGAATATCTTCCAGTAAATTCCATGAAGATTTTAAATCTTTCCAGGAAAAAAAGAAAAAGGTCTTCCTCTCAGAAAGGGGCTATTGCATTTTCCATTACAGGGCTATGGACTAGATCTGTGATTTCCTCAGGGCAGTGAGCTCCTGGTGAGGACTTCATCTAGCAATGCAGGTTGCCACCTGCTCTGCCATGTATAGTCTGACAGCGTGGCCTCAAGCCCCACAAGGTGAAGTGATTGGCACAGCCAGAAGACGTCAGAGGCAAGGCTTCAAACCCAGGTCTTTCTGGCTCCAAGGCTACCTCCCTCTCTCCACTATGCCACATTGCCTCTCATTTTAAGAGTCGGAACATTTTTTTTCACTTGAAACCTCAACCTGGCAGCAATATTTAAAAAAAAAAACAAACCCTGGCTTTGGATAGTATCAGAAAGTCATCTAGTCCAAAACCCACCTATTTTACAGATAAGGAAACTAAAGTAACTCAGAGGGAAATGATGGGCTCATGGTCATATCACTAGCAAGTGGAAAATCTAGCAAAAGAATTTCTTGACCCTTCAGCTCAGGGGTCTTTTTATTATACCATGCTCTTACACCAATCTTTCCTAGCTTTGCTTGGTCCCATCAATTAAATAACAAAGATATACATCTATATTTGCTGCACAATAAAAATAAACATACACTTTTACTTCCAAATTTAAAATTGGAACAACAAAAATTATTCCTGAGCCTTGAACTAGCTTCATTTTATTTGGAATGTCGTAAACAGTGATTTATGACTAGCTACCATGGGCTATTTTCAGATATTTATAAAAAGGCTGAAAAGACCTTTCAAGACTATCAAGAAAGGCCAATCAAATATAAGCTACAGGCATTTTTTTTACAACACAAACTCAGATAATGCAAAGACAGACAATGTTCATGGAATGTGATGAGACTAGGATGGTCGGGGAGATCTGAAGAGTCTCAAAGGGCTGTCATAACTTTATCTTGATACATCAAACTCATACTCTGTATTCCTCCTAAATTCTTCTGGTTCTGGTTGTGGACATAATGCAAACTGTGGTCATCTTCACTTGTGGGTGGTTTCCAATGTGACCTCTCATCCTGAAATGATGGCCTGTGCCATTGGCATAGTTAACGGTTAGTGAAGGATGAAAACGTAAAACTATGGGTGAAATAACACAAGACGGTAACAAATGCTCTAGAAATGGCATGCAAAACAATGAGATGGAAATCATGAGATATTCTGGAAAGCAGGATGCAGTAAGCATTTTCATCACTTTCCTCCTCCCATTTCAGGTATTGGTGGGGGGGGGAACCAGATAAGAACTGTAAATTAAAATCCCAAATTTGCAAGGGGGGGTAAAAAATTTGTTTATGGATGGGTCATATGCATTAGGAAGTGCACTGGGCAGAACAAGCAGTGATATATATAAAATTCTCTCCCTCTCCCCACAACAAAAATCTGGGCTGATGAAAATATCATGGTTCCTGGGTTAAACAGTAAAAATGTAATAATATTTCCATAAGTATAAGTTAACCTGTATTTTTAATTTGCTTAAGCTGAGAAAACAAATGGCACTTGCAACAGAATGACATTTGAAATTATCACCTAACCAAAGCCACCTGTTAAAAATCACCCAAAACTGAATGCCTCCGTGAATAATGGCATTTCTCTATGAACACATTCAGGACTCCAATCAATAAGCTTTGGTAAGCTCTGATGTACAATGTTAGCCCTCAGTTTTTCTATTAACTCAATGTGTTTATAATTATTTCTGTCATTCCAAGTTCTGTCTGTCCCTGCAGAAGGCAGGACGCTCCCCTTTGAAGAATCACAGAATTCTGGAGCTAAAAAGGACGCTTAGAGATCATCTAGTCCAAAAGGTTCTTAACCTAGGGTCTGTCAATTTGGTTTTTAAAAACTATTTTGATAACATTATGTCAATATAATTGGTTTCCTCTGAATTCAGTGTATTTTATGCATTTAAAATATTTTATAGTTTGACCAGGTTTGACTAGACCACCAAAGGGGTCTGTGACACCAAAATGGTTAAGAACCTTTAATCCAGTCCAATCCCATTCATTTTGCTCAGAAAGGAACTTAAATCCTCAGCAGAGGTATAGGGTGATTTGAGTAAAGTCACTCAGTCAACAGGTAGAAGATCTGGGATTGAATTAAGGTGTTCTTACTTCAAAATCCAAGGCTCTTTCCACTTCATTACACCTGCACCCCATGTCTGGGTCTTCCCATGTCAAGATAAAACATTACTCAGAAGTTTTAAGAGCCATTTTCAAGTTTTCACAAAAAGCACTGAAGTTATTAACAAGGTTTTAAAAAGCAATGGACTTCCCTCTTAGAGAACTTCAGTGCATCAGATAACGTAAATATTCCTTTGTGACTAGTCTGATTATCACTGAGGAAGCTTTTACTATTAAGTTTCTTTTGATTCAGTAACTAAGTATAATTTGAAAAGAATTTTTTAAAAAAATCATTGACAAAAACAATGTTCTTCCAAAGTGCTTACCTTACATTTGGAGAATGAGGATGCCACTGTTGTTGTCCAGGATGTATATTAGGATGGTATTGCATCTGGAAGCAAAATATTAACCATGATTAGTTTATTCACAATTTCATTTAGACAAGAGTTAATTTGCTTTATATTTTAACTTTCATATCCCCTGGAGGGGGTACGTGACAGACCATGGTAACAAGAGCTCAGAGAAAACACAAAGTTAAGATTCTACCTGATCATTCTATTGCTCCTGTTTATAAAAAAAGTAAACAGGTATAATGCAATAGTTCTAGTTGATTCTGGAAGCATAAGCTTTCAGGTTATGAAGAAATAAGAACCAACCTTTTTTTTTTAATTTTATCTATTAATTTATTTACTTTTACTTTTCAACATTCACTTCCACAAGATTTTGAGTTCCAAATTTTCTCCCCATCTCGTCCCTCTTCCAACCCCAAGACAGCATGCGTTCTGAATACTCCTTTCCCTAATCTGCCCTCCCTTCTATCACCCCTCCCTTCTCTTATCTTCTTCCTCTTCTATTTTCCTGTAGGGCAGGATAGATTTCTATACCCCATTGCCTGCATATCTTATTTTCCAGTTGCATGTGAAAACAATTTTTTTTAACATTTGTTTTTAAAACTTTGGGCTACAAATTTTCTCCCTTCCTCCCTCCCCACCCACTCTCATTGAGAAGGAAAGAAACTTTATACAAAGAACCAGCCTTTTAAGAGAAAACAGGTCCTTTGGAGAAAAGTCAAAGAGTTCTTATCGGAAGAATGAGGATGAGCAGTTTCCATTTTCCCTACAGACAAAACCAAAGGAAGTGGGGCTTAAGCTATATCAGGAAGAAAGGTAGGAAAGGTATCCAAGTGTGCAACATTATTCTAGAACCAGAGGTGGGTGTGAAATTTCATTCCCGGGAGTTTCTTAGAAATGCCAAAAATACAAAAACAAAACAACAACAAAGAACCCTACCACACATTGTGATAGCATGTGAGAGAAGAATTATTTCCCCCTTTGAAGTAGGCAAGAAACCATCACAAAGTCACAAATCAATTTAGTTAACGGTGGAATGGGAAGAGATTCCATCTCTTGATCAGTATTACAATCTCCAAATTGAAAGCTGTCTCAAAATTACAAACCCCCAAGAGAAAAGTAGAACCAGGCAATTCTAGAGACTCAACATACCCAACATTAAACCATCTGTGACAAAATCCCATCACTGTGGGGCCATTAAACTAGCTCCCATGCTGAGAGGAATATCATGATGACAGTCATAGCATCGATGTAATGCTTTAAGGTATGCAAAGTACTGGCTCTTCAGAACAAGCTTGGGCCATACAGTTAGTGTCCTGAGGAAGAATAAGAATTCAGATCTTCTGGACTTCAAGCCCAGTGCTCTGCCCACTGTACCACCTATCTGCCTGAGATGAGTCCTATTTTCTTCACTGGCAGAATCCCAGGAGCAGTCTCTCTAAGCTTTTTATCATGTAGATAACTTATCTCTAGGCTTTCTTATTATCGGAATCAGGTAGATTCCACAACCTGTACCAGCTCTTTGCTTCACTAGTTAAAAACCCTCTCATGCTCATAGGCAGTATTTTTCCATATCCAACTTTATCTATCTTTTTTGGAGGGTTAGTAGCCCATATCTTTAGTTATATAACTCATTTAAAATGAAGAAAAGATGGTTTAAGGATATTCCTTCTAGGTACTGAGAAGTTAAAAAAATCAATTCTCATTAATTCTTTTCTTGGCAAATCAACTGGAAAATAAAGTATGATTACCTAGCCTTGATACAACAATGTGTTTCAGAGAATGGAAAGATGCACTGTTATAATAAGTAGCCAAAGACCTGAAGAGAAGAATGGAAACAATGGTGTGATTGCAGCAAAATTCAAAATAAGAACAAATCTTTGTCTGATCCCTATCTCCGTAACAGGCCCTTTTTCTAAGTATGAGTGTGTATGCTCCAACAGCTCAGATGAGAGGAGAGCCTGAGAGCTGGGCAGTTGCTGGGCTTTTGTTCTGTTGTTTATTTTGATACTTAAAAGGATTAACGACTCCATTGATATATGTACTTCCTCTGCCAAAACAGATCACAACCCCTCTAATCAAATCAATTTATCAACAAACATCTATTATGTCTGGAGAAGCAAATGGTAAACCACTCCAGTATCTTTGCCAAGAAAACCCCATGGACCTCAGTCATGAAGAATCAGACACAACTGAAACAACTGCACAACAAAAATTATGCCATTCACAATGTATATAAAATATATTGTATACACAGTGCCTGGGGAGGGAGGCGTTCCACTAACAACTGGAGGACTAGGAAAAACTTCTTGGAAGAACCTCTAGAGGTGAGTCTAAAAGGGAATGAGGGGTTCTGAGAAGAAGAGGACAAAAGGGAGAGAGAATCCTGGGAAGGGGTACAGCCTGTGCAAAAGCATGGAGACAAGACACTGGGCTTGGTACAAAGGGAAAAAGCTAGAATGCCTGCTTGGCTAGACCACAAAGCTTCTGAGGTGGGAGTAATGCAACTAGACTGGAATGAAGCTGGAGCAGATTATGAAGGGCTTTAACTACAGGCAATGGAAAGCAGGGGAGTGACATAGTTGGACCTGCTTTTTTTGGAGTATCAACTTAGCAGCTATAATGGAGGATGGCCCGGAGAGAGGAGAGATATGTGGACACCTTTGTATATCATCAAGGAAGTGCCACTAATGTCACAAGATGGCCAAACTTCTGGAGATGAACCTTTCTGAACTTAGCAAAACACTGGGGCCACACTCAAAAGCCTTTATGACTTGGTGGTGGTGGTGTTCAGTTGTTTTCGGCTATGTATGACTCTTCGTGACCCCCTTTAGGGTTTTCTTGGCAAAGATAGAAGAGTGGTTTGCCATTTCCTTCTCCAGCTCATTTTACAGATGAGGAAACTGAGGCAAACAGGGTCAAGTGACTTGTCCAGGGCCACACAGCTTGGAAGTATCTGAGGCCCCATTTGAACTCAGGAAGATGAGTCTTCCTGACTCCAGGTCCAGCACTCTATCCACTGCACCATCCAGCTGCCCTTACAGCTTGGTAGACCTACCTATATGGTATACAAGCAAAAGCCTTCAAAAAACCTATCAAGGAACAATTATTCTTAAACACCCCACAGAATGACAGAATGTGGTTAAACCTAGAAGGTGGCATAGTGACCATCTAGTCTAACCTCCTCATTTTACAGATGAGGAAACTGAGGCTCTCTGGGGGGAAATTATTTGCCTATGGCAAGGGGCAAAGCTTAAATTCAAATCCAGATGTTTTGATTCTAGGTCCAGTCCTCCCTGGTTGCTTCCTTTCCCACCAAGGAAACTCATCTGAACTTCCAAGTCACTACTTAAAAAAAACACAGAAACAACAGCAAAAATTTACATAGCAATTTATATGTCACAAGGTCCTGTCCCTTCTCATTTTTTACAACCTTGTGAGTTAGGGGTATAAATATTCCATTTTATACATGAGACTCAGAGAGTGACTCGCCATGGTCATACAGCTAACACGACCAAAGCAGAACTGTACTCACATCCCAACTGACATTAAGTCCTCTGCTCTTTTCATAACATCTAGCATTCTCATGAGAGGGAAAAAGCCAAACAGAAAACCTATGGAAAAAAAAATGAGCCTGGAAAATGAAAAAGTTCCTCTGCTCAAGATACCCACGTTTATTCATTTCTCTTGTGATTCACCACTGAGAGAATGGCATCACTTATATTTCATCCCTGGATTCTGCAAGTATGATTTCCATCAATGTATAACCACTACAACAAAATACCTCTAAAAACAAAATAATTAGGAAGTAGCGCGGGTAAAGCCGTTCATAAGTCAGGAGAGCTGGGCTCTCATTTCACTACTATCACTAATTTCCAACCCATGTGCTACTGGGGGCAAGACACTTAATCTTTTGGAGGTATAGCCTGTTGAGGGGGTTAGGTAAAATGGCCTCCGACGCCTCTTCCAGCTTTGACATTTTGAGATTCTAAAGAACAATGCAGAGTCCATCCCATCACCTCAACTCACCCCAACTCACCCACTGAACTCATTTAGTGAGATTGTGTTTGCACAAATATATTAAGCTTTATCCTTAAAACAACACTAACACTTTAGGGACACCCTAGACAATAATGGAAGATCAAAAAGGAAAAATCTTTTCAAAGGCTAAAATGAGGGGAAAAGCCTGTGAGTGAAAGATTGTAATGAGCATCCAGTTTCTCCAAGCACATTTCCATGATTTGTGGCATTTAAAACCATGGTGATGAGAGCACCTCAGGGTATTAATGGTATGGAATATTCTGGACCAGATGACTAGTTAAGTCTTTGGTAGATTTGCCCATTTTATTCAAATCAACTTAACCAAATTCAACATTAAACACCTACTGTATACAAAACAACTTTTACCCTATATAGGATTGATAAATCAGTGGAAAAGTCAGATAAACTTACTAACATTAGCTTGGAGAGGAACCCATTGATCATTAGTTCAATAATATTACTTATTATTCCTTCAACTTCTGAGAGAAGGGGTGTCCCCCTGAAGCATGACTACAGCATGTTTTAGTAAAACAGGCTCAACAATTTCAACAATTTTTGTTTGGCCAAAGCTTCCCGGCACCTAAATTTCTACTGCCATCATTTATAGAGGACAATATGGCATATACAGGATGAAATGACTACACCAAAAAAATTTTAAAATAATTTGCTCTTACCTGGTAATTGTGAACTTCTGGATTATTTTTGGAGCTAAGATAAAGAACAGACAATATATTACAGAAAGGAAAGTAATTTAGTATTAATTAGTATTAATGTTCATAATGTTACTTGCTCAGGTTCATACTGAAACAGAAAAACCAAACAGAAACAGCAATGATGAACAGCCATTTTGGGTCACATACATGAACCTCTTTGTAGCATAACCCCCCTCCCACTAGAAAGGCTCTCTTGCTTCCTTAGGTTTCTGTAACATTAATCTTTTGTGGTTCTTTTTGTATCCAGTCACTCCTACTTATTAACATGGCAGAGGACAAAAAAATGGAGTCTGGAGTAAGAAAATGCATGTGAATTGATATTCTGCCATTTCCTACTGGTACAACCTATAAATTGAAGGAGTTAGACTGGATTACCTAATCTAAGATTTCTTCTGCCTCTAAAATTCTAGGATCCTCTAAATTTGGATAAGACCCCATGATGTTCCCATTAATATTACATTAGGATATTCCAATGTATTTGTTCAACAAGAGCTGCTACAACTGCACACAGAAAAATTAGTGCTACACCAGCAATAAGTGGTACTGGAAGTCATTCTTTTACTTCCACAACACTCATCAATGACTATACCATAAGGATGGGATAGGTTAGCCTTGGAATATGTACATGTGTTGAGTGGTCAATACCACAGCTGCCAAGATAGCCTTTTGTACTTTTCAAGGCACTTTCCAATTTTCATTTCATGATGCAAAAGTCCTTATTTCTTTGACTTTGGTTTTAGCTATGATGTTCCTAGATGTTTTCAGTTTGAGGTTTCTTTGAGGAAGTGATTGGTGAATTCTTTCCACTTTCACTTTGCTTTGGTTCTAGTATATCTGGCTAGTTCTCTTTTATGATTTCTTGAAATATGGTATCCAGCTTTTTTGTTTCGCCAGTTTTCAGAGAGTCCAATGATTCTTAAATTATCTCTCCTCACCCTGTTTTCCAGGTCATTTGTTTTTTATAGGAAATAGCATCTTTTGACTTTGTTCTAATATTTCTTTGGTATCACGGAATCACTAAGTTCTGATTATTCCATTCGATTTTTCAGGGACTATACTACTTGGGTAAGGTTTTTCCACCTTCTATTCTAAGTTAGTTTATCCTCTTATCAATTTTTTCCACATGAACTCTCACTTTATTTCATTTTTTTCTTTCAAACAGAATACTTCATTGTTTTATTCTTGTTAGTGTACAAAAGAGAAATCAATGAAAATTGATAAAGACAGATATGAAGGTCTGAAAAAAAGCAGAAACTCATATGATTAAGTTGGCACATCGTTACAAGACTTAGGCTTTTGTGAAGACTTAAAAGAATTCTCTTTCCTTTAAGTAGTTGCAAGTCACATCCACATCACTGCACAGTTCCACATATGAAAAATGAATTACAGGATTTTCAGCATAACTTAAGTAATATTTTATAATAAGGTAAAGATTTGCAGGGGGAGGGAGATGGATGGTCTAAAAAGATTTGCAGTTAATTATAGTCCACTCAGCAAGGAATAATACTGTGTATTCTGCTGGCAAAACTATTTAAATCTAACAGACCCTGTGAAATATGAGAGTGAGAGACAGAGAGAAGGAAAGGGAGAGAGGCAGGGAGGGAGGGAGAGACAGGGAAGGGGGGGTGTAGAGAGGGAGAGAGGAAGAGAGAGAGACAGGGAGACAGAGAGGGGAGAAGGGAGAGAGGCAGGGAGGGAGGGGGGAGAGAGGAACAGAGAGGGAGAGAGAGGGAGGGAGAGAGAGGGAGAGAGAGATGGGGAGACAGAGAGAGGAGATGGGGGAGAGGAGGGAGAGAGGGGAGGGGAGGGGGGAGAGACGGAGGGAGGGAGAGGGGGGAGAGGGAGGGAGGGGGAGAGAGAGGGGGAGAGAGAGAGAGAGGGAGGGAGAGAGAGAGACAGAGAGAGAGAGAGAACGAATGAGAGAAAGAGGATATATGGGAGTAATATTTTTCGTACAAGGTTTTATTTCATTTTTCTATCTTGCTTTATTTCTTCCAGTCAGTCGTGTAGTCTTTGTGACCAAAGCCTTTCTTTCCTCTGAGGTTCTGCAAGTAGTTGTTATGGTTCACTCTCTTCTTTTTCTCCCCTTTATACTTCACCTCTTTGAGAACAGGTATTCTGTTGCATCTATTTTTATATTTTGGGGGTCTAATATACTGCTTTGTACTTAACAAATACTTAATAGACATTGGTTGAAGCGACTGAATTTTGGTGAATGATTATGAAAGGTTCCAAAAACCGAATGCTCTTGACTAATAATTTCCAGCATATTGTTGTGCAAAAATAATTTCCTACTGAGAGCCACAGGCATGATAGTAGCAGTTCACATTTAATTTAATTCTTTACAAAGTTGTTTCCTGACAATAACCTCACGAGACAGCACTGCCATCTCACTGTATTGTTTCTCCCATTTTGTAAATGAGGACACTAAGTCTCCAAATCATTAGTGATTTGCTTAAATTCAGATGTCAGAAGTTAAATGTCAGAACCTGGATTTAAACTCTCAGCTGCCTCTTGACCCAAGTCCAGTGCTCTTTCCACCAGAATCAGAGCAGGCAAGAGCTGGAAGGAATCTCAGACTTCACCTCAATCAACCCATGCCTAAATAGGAATCCCCTCTCCAACATCCCCAACAAATGGTCATCCAGGAATCAGGAAACAGGAAAGGGAAAATGAAAATTGCATCTAGGATCAATATCCATAATTTAGATGTATTAGGGAAAAATAAAGAACAGTAAAATGAAGTCCTCTATATCCTATCACAACCATTTTTTTTTGTACATGAGGATCTGGGTAACACTTACCATAGCTGGGCTGCTTTCACTGGGTTGTTTGCTTAAAAAAAAAACAAACAAAAAATAAGTCAAGCCAGTATTCCAGAAATTGAAAAAAAAAATCACAATTTTAGAAGCTGCTTTAAGACGGTTGGAAAGAGACAGTTTAAGTAAACTAATTCTGTATTTGAAGTACATCTTCACAAGAACGTTTTTCTAATCTGAAAAAGTAACCTCTTCACCACAGCTGTCTGTATTACCTTAAGCTCAGAAAGGTTCTTCATTCTTGGAGACAGTGTAATTAAATGCTTCAGTGTTTTATCCATCACTCCAGAGATGGAATGAGAAAAGGGGAGCAGAAACAAAGCGGGGGAAAGGAGATAGGAAATCGAGAAGCATTTAGAACAGGTCAACTACTCTTCCTGGAAAGGGGCACACTTATTTTAGTAGCACATAAAGTCTCTGGTCCTCTCCAACTCTCAACACTTACTACAGGCTTCTCCTGGCTGATCTTATCCTCTACTTTCTTTTGTTTCTTTTCCCTGTCTTTCTTGTCCCTCTTGTTCTTAAGTTCTCCTATACTCTTCCCCAAATACAAAGAATCATTTATGCAATAATCATTTATTAAGTATGTATCACATGCAAGTATTATGCTAGGTGCTAGAAAAGATACAAAGGTAATGACAAGCTGATCCTTGCCTTCACTGACTTCATAAATTTTGGGATGAAGGAGGTATAGATACACAAATGACTGCTGTGTGTGGAACTTGGAGTTAGGAAGACTTGAGTTCAAATCCTACCTCAGACACTTACTAGCTGTTTAACCCTGGGCAATTAATTTGATCTCTCTCTGTCTCAGTTTTCCTCATCTGTAAAACGAGGATACTAACAGCATCTACCTCATTGGGGTGTTGTAAGGATCAAATGAGCTAACACATAAGCAATACAATAATAAGTCATATAAGTGATAGCACTATATAAGTGATAATTATTATAATTAACAATAAATTAATATATTGGTATTATGATGCACAAATATTATGTGATATCATAAAATTATATATTTGATTATAACAACATATATTAAGTTATATATCAAACATAATAAATTAGAAATAACAAAATATTGCTATTTATTATTAATGGAATAATAAAAAAGATAATAAATCATGTTAATTACATAGAAATACTTAAGATATTTCTATAAATCAAAATAAGCAGATAAACTCAAACTCTTTTAGCCCTACTTTAGCCCTAAAATGATTCTTTTTTTCTTTTAATTAATTTATTTTTAGTTTTCAACATTCACTCTTATTAGATTTTGAGTTCTAAATTTCTTCCCCCTCCCTCTTCTCCCCTCTTCCTTAAGACGGCATGCAATGTAAAATGCTTCTTAGGTCCTATCAATGAAATCTTTATTTATATCTCAAGTTCTCCTAAAATAGAGATTCTATTTTCTCTTACATTATTTTGAACCTTGATTAGTCCAGGCACTACTTATAATTTAATGATTAATCCACAAGTATTCACTTAGTATCTACTACATGCCCAGATACGGTGTGTAAAACCAAAGTATAAGAAAAGGTTCATGTCCTCAGGCAGCTTCCAGTCTACTAGGGGAGAGTAGAAAAATATACACACAACATAAAGACACAAAGACAAGCTGTGATATAGGCTAAGTGTTACCAGAGAGGTTCAGAGAATGGATAGATAAAGGAGTCCTATTCTGATTAAGGAAAGTACTTCATGGAACAGATGGAACTTGACCCTGGCCTTAAAGGATGGGTAGAATTTGGATAGAGGGAAAGAAGGGAACAGTTTACAAGTCTTATCACATTGATCTTCTTGATTCTAAGTTATGCCCTCTCTAGCAACTCTACTTGAAATGCTTAGGAACTTGTTGTTGCCTTCTGAACAAAGAATAAACTGCTGACTTTGGCATTCAAAGCTCTCCATGATTCTGCTCCAACCTATCGGTCCTGCTTTGACCTAATTTAAAAGTTTATCATGTGGAGGGGCAGCTAGGTGGCGCAGTGGATAGAGCACCGGCCCTGAAATCAGGAGGACCCAAGTTCAAATCCAGACTCAGACCAAACACTTGACACTTACTAGCTGTGTGACCCTAGGCAAGTCACTTAACCCCAATTGCCTTAAAAAAAAAAAAGTTTATTATGTGGAAGGTATTGGGTGAGGTGCTAGAAATACCAACAAAAGCAAAAAACTCTACCATCAAGGTTCACCTGGGACACCAAATGTACATAGCAAAGTAAATATGAAGCAATTTCAAGACAATAAGAGTGCCAATAATCAGGAGGGTCAGGAGAGGCCTTGTGGTGGGAGGTGGTACCTGAACCGTGAATGAGGGATTCTATATGGCAGAGATGAAAAGGGAGAGGATTCTAAACCTAGGGGACCACTTGTACAAAAAGGCATGGAGGGAGGGATGGAGGGAGGAGGTAGAAATGTTCTGAAGAGGAATTAGCCAGCGGGCCAATTTAACTGGAACAATATGAAAGAAGCCTAGAAAGGTTGGTAGAAACCAGATGGTGAATAAAAGACCTAAAATGTCAGGCTGAGGATTTTGTATTAAACCCTAGAAGCAACTGGGAACCACTGAAGATTTCTGATTAAGGGCTAAGATTTGTGTTTTCAGAATATCAATTTGGCAGCTGCATGGAGCACAGACTGGAGAGTGGAGAGTGAAAGAAAGGAACCAATTATGGAGTTATTACAGCAGCTTTCACTAAGTGAAAGGTGATGAAGGCCTGGGCCAGCAGTAACTTCTGCGTGAACGAAGGGAGAGGGACAAATGTGAAGAAAGTTAATGCTGACGTAGACTCAGTAAAACTCCCTTTCAGGTTTCAGCTGAATGAGACCTCTACTGTTCATTTCTTCTTATTCTATCATTTCCTGTCTTCTCTGTGCCTGATACTTAGCAGCTATTTAATAAATGCTTGGTGAATGATTGAGTATTTGTTTATTCCTTTGCTTATTAGGCATGCCCTACTTTACCTCAACTGCCATCTCCATTTTTCCTATCAAGGCTCAACTCAGATGCACCATGAAATATCCCATAATTCCACTTCTCACCATAGCAAAAATTTTCCTTTCCTCTTCAAATTTCTCATAGTACATTGTATGGGACCACTTCTTGACACTTTTCTTGCCCCTTCTTTTATGAGGACTACATACATGGGTTTGCCCTTTCTTCTAATGCCAGCTCTTTTAAAAGAAAACTTATATCCACAATTTTCCAAGGTTCAACACTGGCTCTCTTGTTTTTTTCTCCCCGTGCCCTCCAAGGGAAGACCTGGTTAATAGTATTAGATGCAACAGAGACATTAAAAAAAAAAAGATTAAGTTTAAAGAAAAGCAGCAGAATGTGGAGTTGTTGAAAGGAATTTTCAGTAAAGTGATAGGAGGGAAGCCAGATGGCAGAGCACCTCACAGCTCAAGAAATCTGTCAGTAAAATAAAGAAGAAAGAAAAGAAACAAGAGGGCAGTTAGAGGAGATAACAGAAGGAAGCAAAGGTTTATTAGATACATACATGGTTGACTGCATTAAGACAAGCTGATGAAGAGTGGAAGATGAAACGAGGTTGTTGAAGGTTTTCCCTTTCTTCACCAATTAGGGGAAGGACCACAATGAACCACCTACCCGCAACTGGTTCTTTTTTATGTTCCTTCCCAGGGGCTGACTTATGGCTTCCTGCCCTTTAATACTGGACAACTTATAGTGGGATTAATATAATTCAACACTATACAAGTTATTAAGCCACATCAATTATGAAACCTGTAACACCAATTTCACCATAAAACATGCCAACCTCATTAATCACATGAGCTTAATAATGTCCCTCTATTGTATCTGCCCATTATTCTCTCATCACTCCTATCTCAATCATATCCCCTTCCTTTTAATGTTAATGTATTTTGCTGTTAAAGATTGGCTGATCTTCCTTCTTCTTCTTCTTTTTTTTTTTTTTTGGCAACTGTGACTTGCCCAGGGTCACACAGCTACTAAATGTCAAGTGTTTGGTCTGAGGCTGGCTTTGAACTCAGGTGCTCCTGACTTCAGGGCCAGTGCTCTATCCACTGTACCACCTAGCTGCCCTGATCTTCCTTCTTCTTAACAGATGTGTTTACCAGGGTACCAGGCATGGGACTTTTTCTGAAGATCAGATGAAAACTGCAATAGACCACCTTATTGTCAAAGGAAAGGAAAACCTTCCCTTTCCCTTTCCCTCATTTGATTATTATGAGCTGGTAAACAGGAGTGTGTGGGACTTTGACTGTTATGAGTCAGCTGTAAATAACTATAATGGAATAGCTTGTTTCTGTTGGAAAGGCCTCAAAAATTATATAGGGTCCTATTAGGTCTTTGGGAATTAAGGCTGATGCCAACTACACACAACTTACTTTGATGATGGTGCTGAGCTATGTGGGCAATAAAGCTTGTCTGTTGAAAGGTCAAAGGACTCAGATGACCCAAGGGGGATCATGACTGTGTAAAGACAGATTATGGAGGGTCTTCACAAAGCCAACCAAAAAATATTCAAGTGTTTACATTAATGTCTGTCCATGTATTTAAATTTAAACACCCACACTTAAATCATCATGCTGCCTTTTTTTTTTTTTTTTTGCCCAACTGAGTCTAATCTCTTTACTGTCTGATCATTTCCCTCCTCCTACTATAATTCTCATGGTACAATAGCAGGGGATATTGGCTTGGTGCTTTCCCAAAAGATACGTTTATTCTAGGTGAGATAGCTACTTCATTCGCACTATTAAAATGGCTATTTTCCCATGACACTTTGGAGACCCCATTGCCTGCTCACAAAAGGGTGAGGAGGGATAGGGTAGTGACAGACAAGGCTGGTCAAGAGGACAGAATTAAAACATAAAAGAAAAAGAACAAAAGGGAACAGTAGCATGGCAAACACTGACCAAACTTATTTGGGAGCTACCAAGGTAAACTTTTCTACTTCTCTAGGATGAGAGTAGGCCAGTCTAAAAATAAAAAGTTCTGACTTTGCATTATAACTGCATTTGATGAGTTAAAGAAAAATATACTATTTAAGACAGAATGAAAAACACACAACCTTTAAAAGTTGAATGTCTCCGTGATGGGTACCGTTTACTAGGTCTTCTTTCAAATGTACTGGTTCTTCGTAACCGAGCCCCATGAGTGGCTTGATACTCTGTCCTCCCACTAGAAAATAAAGGGGTTTTTTTTGTAGATTAACAACTTTATTAGAATATATTTGCAAAAGAATTTATATGGAAATGAATTTTTTGATTGGATTAAATAGGATCACTGTTTCAACTCAACCATGAGGTATAATTGTTCAAGAATTCAAATGAATCTTAAATTCAGTTTATGGGTCAGTGTGTCATCATGAGACAAAATGGTGACCTATGACAATTTCCATGACTTAATAAATTTGGATTAGTGAGGATAAAGCTTCTAGAAGTTGGTAATTTTCTCCAAGGCACTATGCCTAAAATTTAGAGAAATACCACTAGGTAAACGGTAGTATCTGGTTACAACTCCATAGTCTGAATGTGCACTTTAGGAATAACTAACTGAATTTCTTAAAAAAATAGCATATGATCCATTTACTTGTGCTTTTCCTAAAAGAAATGATAAAAACAATAATGACCAACATTTGATAACACTTTCAGGTTTATGAAACACTATTCTATATATATATTATCTCATTTGATCCTCACAATAAGCCTATGAGGTTGATATTATTAATATTCCTATTTTACATGTTGGGAAGTTGAATTTCAGATAGATTATTTGCCTGTGGTCACACAACTAGTAAGTCTGAGAGAAAAAATTTAAAGTGGGGTCTTCCTGACTCCAGTACCATACTTTTCCCATACACTACTCTCAGGTTGAAAAAAATTTACTATAAATCATTAACAAATTTCTAATTGTTATCTTTATTGTACAAGATTTGATCTATAGGGCAAGAATAACAGAAATGCAGATAGCTCAGTTCCTAAAATCAGTCATTATTAATTACTCTTTAAGTTCTGACTTTCCTAATCACATTTAGTTCTCTGACCTACAGTAATTTAGATATTAAAACACCTCGAGTCTGTAAAGAGTTTTTCAGAAATTCGATGCTTCTTCTACCATTCCACCTGCTTCAGCATCCCTCTGGCCATTTCCAGGCCTCCAACGACACTGCAGCTCTTACCTGGGCTTGCAGCTTACCAGAGAGAAGACAAAATTCTATTTATTTGGTGCTCCCAAGGGGCAACTCGGCTTCACACTACATAGAGACTTGACCCACAAATTGCCCCTTTTCTTTTCTTTCTTTCTTTTTTTTGTCTAGGCAATGGGGTTAAGTGACTTGCCCAGGGTCACACAGCTAGTAAGTGTTTTGTGTCTGAGGCCAGATTTGAACTCAGGTCCTCCTGAATCCAGGGCTGGTACTCTATCCACTGCACCACCTTGCTGCCCCTACCCTTTCCATGGCCTGATCTTTCCCTTATGGCCAAGGGACAAAGCAAAGGAAAAGAAGATTATAGGGTGACTCCCTGATTCTTTCAAATCCTGTGGTAGTCACCCTTCTAATCAGGAACAGTCCTGTTGCAATCACGTATCAGATTGTAGATTTAGAGCTGAGAATGATATTAGGTGTCATTTAGTACACACACAATGTAAATTTTAATTTCTGAAACAATTTTTTTGTTTGTTTCGTTTTTTTCTCTTAAAGACCAGCCTTAACCCAAATCACTCTGGTCCCAGACCAAGACCTACTTGGTCACTGTTTGGGCCCTGATTGGCTCAGAATGAACATAAATAACAACTGTTTCTGGTTTGGCCAGAAACCCTGAGGGTCTTCCCCTCCCACATCTAATTTTTTTAAGAGGTCATTCTTTGCCTCATTTTTATTAGGCCTTAATCACTGAACGGGTGTTGCCTCAGTCAAAACTTTTTGAAGACCTTAGCTTGAAAAAGCCAAGGTCTCCTACTGCACCCTGGGCCCTCTTCAGTTGTCCTGATCCATATCTGGCCACAGGACCGAGATGGCTCTGGAGGAGAAAGTGAGGCTGGTGACTTTGCACAGCCCTCCCTCACTTAAATCCAATTCACCTGCATGTCATGGCATCACCTCCCTGGTGTCATGATCCTATTCGAGAATAAAAGACAAACAGCAGCAACATTTTACAGATGAACTATAAAGGAGGAGAAGGAGGTCCAGAGAGGCCAAGTAACTTGCCCAAGGTGACAGAGCTCATAAAGGAGCAGAGGTCAGTCATGAACTTAGATACCATGACTACAAATACATAATTTTTTCTTTGTATCATGTAGACGCCTCTCCCACACACACACTTGTTGCATGCCATTCACTTAGGAAGATGAGTGTAAACATACAAGTGAGTTGCTTTAAAAACCTCTCTATAGATGTTTCAGCATTTTATAAGCTATCAGATGCTTCTCACAAAATGTGTTTCTTTCTTAAAGAGAATTTGCCTTTATATTTCTGCACACTTTCAAATACCTCTAAAGAAAACAGAAAATGCCCAGGTTTTTTTTTAAGAGTTCCACAGAGATTTCCTCATGTTGCCAATATGTTTTCAAATGGGCAATTTCTGTAATTTGAAACAGATTTTAACGAGATGTATTATGTGGTAAGAGGTCCAAAGATCTATGATTGCATTCACAGGTGAAAAGTTTTATGATAAAATCTGACATTCTAACAGAATCACAGACTTAAATTTGGGAGAGGCCTTCATCATCTGGATCTGACTAGAATATCATCATTAACACTGTCACTAAGCATTCACGTAGAGGCAACTTCCTACCTCTAGAAACAATCTAATCCTATTAGCTCTCATTGAAAATAAATCTCATTCTCTATATTAAGCCAAAATCTGCTTCCCTATAATTCCCAACCAAATCTCCAAGTTTTGCCTTCTAAAATTAAGGAAAAAAAAAAAGGTCTACCCTTTTCTACATGACAGCCCCTCTGATATTTGAAAACAGCTAGTATGTCCTCCCTAAGGCTTCTCTTCAAGCTAAACATTCCCTATGCCTTCAACCAATCCTGAAATAGCAGTATGCGGCCCCCTCACCATCTTCTGAACAGGCTCAGCATCCTTTCTAGAATGTTGTTGTCCATCCTTCATTTTCAAACAGGATCAGTGACATCATGGGTGACGTCTTGACTTGGGCATGAATTGGATTTAAATGAGGCAGAATTGCCCAAAGCCATCAGAAGTAGATATGATGCTCTAGATGTAGTCTCACTAGGGCATCCTTTCCCTTGCTTGGGGCATTATGCTTCTAATATTGCTGCCTCAGAGCATTTGCTTTTCCTACGGATAAACCTGTCCCATTCTTTGGGGCAGCGAGGTGGCACAGCGGGTAGAGTGCCTGCACTGGAGTCAGGAAGATCTGAGTTCAAATCTGGCCTCAGGCAATTATTAGCTGTGTGACCTTGGGCGAGTCACTTAAGTAACTCAGTTCCTCATCTATAAAATGAGTGAGAGAAGGAAATGGCAAACCATTCCTGTATCTTTGCCAAGAAAATCCCAAATGGGTCAGAAAGGGTCAGACATGACTGAACGACCATTTTTTGGAACAAACAGTCTCTTAACTTAAGACAAATTGTTAGTTACCTGAACCTAAATCGTGATCCTAGCCTTATGAAGTCTGATCTATTGGATTTATTATTTGCTGGTGTCCTCAATCTGAAGAACGCATGATGCTCAACCGCACATTTCCAGAGGTGCTTGCAGGTCCGTGAGCTATCTAATCGGAAAACAAATGTGTGCTCTTGCTCTCGCCCCTTAAACATAAAATAGAGCATCCTGTTAGTTTTGCACATCTGATGTTAGTGAAGGGTTGATATGAAGACAGAAAAGTGAGCACCGAAATTACCTGGTCATCATCTTCTACGACAACAAGAGTTAATTTGCTCTTTTTAAAATCCATTTTAGTGATTTTGGGCCTAGTTACAGAGAAAACATTTTTACAGTAGAATCATAAATACAAGTAATTCATATATCAACCAGTGATTACCATTCTGTTGTTTAAAACTCTTAGCTTAGGTGAAACTTTATTCAATAATTCAAGGATCACTTTGCCAATGATAATTACAAGACATTGATGCCTTAGAAGATAGTTTCATGAACTACTTGGGCAAAAAAGTTCATCATCTTATGGTCAACCTTCTGGTGGCATTTTGTTGACATGAATCAATTTAATTTAAATAGAACCATCCAGAATTTGGGGGACTAATGTGATAACATGAGTTTTCTAAAAGCGAATCTGGGTTTTGTAAAACCACCTCAATATTCTATCTCTCTCTCTCTTTTGGTGATTTTATTACTATGGAAAACTCCCAAGTACGACAACTCTCTTCAGCAACAGAAAATCAAGAGCTCATATGTAATGTATAGTCTTACAGAGTTGTAAGGGCAGACGGAGGACTTGGGCCCACATCCGCCTAACTCAAAGGTCAGCCTTCTGTCCACTCTGCCACACTAACTTTCAATGTTGTTATCATCCACCATGACATATCATTCCACCACAAAATAGGACATATTTAAAATAATATTAGACAAGCTAAATTACCAAAAGAATAAACCTATTTTGTTAGCTCCTTCAAAGATTAATATCCCTGTTGGTGTTAGACCAAGAGCATATTCACAGCCATCTCTTCCCTACAAACAAAAGAAGCGACAATCAGTATACAGGCTTAATGTTTTAATTCAATATAATAAACATTTTTTAAAGTAGTTAGCACTGTGCTATGCACTGAGAGAGATTCAACATTTATATAGTAGTATATCCTCAAGAAACTTACAGTCTCCAGTAGTCCTTTAATTGAATACAAAATGCATTACCAAAGGCTTGTTTCTAAGTTTCCAACAGCAGGTATACTGAGGTTATTTAGTTATGAAGGTGCTTTTCCATATCTTACCTTAACTACATGCATGTCTACTCCATACATTTCTAACCATTTTGCTTTGTTCAGATAGGAAAGCTCAGCCTGTGCAGGGCTCTTCCCCCTTTACAAAGGAAACAGAAATACGTGTAAGCAGATGCACAAAAATAAAGGGAATTCTCAATGCCACCTTAACACTCTGTTGTAGGAGATTTGGATTCCTTCCTTTGGAGGGGAATTGCCTGCCATTTTCCTGAAGTGGGTAAGAGGGCATGGGGTACCCACACCTTTTCTTAATCTCATCTAACCTGCAGGGAAATACCAAGAGCTAATGTCAGTTATGCCCACAGTTAATAAAAATGCAACATGCCTTTAATACCGACGATCTCAAAGACCGCGGCACAGGAATGCCGTGCCATGGAAATGAGGGCAACTTGCTTTTCTATAAAATGGGTGAGCGACACCTATTTTCCAGAATTATGATGTTAAGGTTTTTCTACATTGAAAAAGTGCTTTTAAAGACTGAGTGGGAATTAACATGCTTAGTATAATAAACTTAACCACACAGGTATTGATTACACAATTTGTTAAACCCAGTGTTGAAGTCTTCTTCTTTTATTTATTTAACAAGCATTTATTGAATATTTATTGAACAAACATTTGTTCATTTATCTGTTCATTTATTTTTAGAGAGAAGCTCTCAGCCTACTTTGGCTCTAGGAAACATTAAGTTTACATTTTTGTAACTACAGACTGGTTTGTGCATACTTTGTGATTACGTAGAACTTCTGGATGAACCTAACTGGTGCAATTTTAAGGCTTTTATGTTTTGGGGGGGTGGGTCCCTTGAGATAAAAATTACTGCAGAGGCTCTAGGGAAGGTATTTTCCTTTTTTTCTTGATGCTGCAATTTGGTTTTATACTACTTCATTATAAGAGAAAGCACATTCAGGAATATTTATTTCCCTTGTAGAGGTGCCACATTCCACCATGAGGGCTATTTGTACCTTGTCAACAGTGGCAAAATAGCATTCCAAAAATCTACCATAGCACTTATAAGAGCTTTTTTTGTCTGAGGTTTCTACAGAGAGCAAAGTCCTCAACACTCCCTGCCTCCTCCCAAATGCCTAGGAGTGGTACCCTAAGAGGAATTCTCAGACAGATTGAGGAAATTCTAGATTTCTCTTGGGATTTCCTTATTTCTGTTCATGGAACCACCATTCCCCCAGGTACCCAGGCTTCAATACTGAAGTTATCTTTGACTCTTTCCCCACCCTCAACAACTAATCAGTCAACAGATCCTCAAATATTTCCTTTACAATGTCTACTTGCATTCATCCACCCACCCACATACCCACCCATTCTTTCCACCATAGCTCATAGCCTCTTGGCTAATATTTTGCCTCCAGTCACTTTCTTTTCACATCGAAATTTTATTTCAAATCATGCTTGCACATGTACAACTTATACTGGATGGCTTACAGAGGGGGAGGAAGGATAGAATTTGGAACTCAAAATTTTGAACACAAACAAACCTTTTATATATAATTGGGGGAAAAATAAAATTTTTTTTTAAATGCTAGAGAAAAAAAAAGAAGTACTGATCAACTTCCCTAGACGTGATTAAATTCTTTTGCATTAGCACAGCACAATTACCCTCTGGCCTTATCTTTGTCATTTGAGAGATTAGGGCCGCCTAATTTCACAATCAGAAGCAAAAATAAGAGACCAGCATTCACTTTCTTATTATAGGGGTTGCCTGGTCAACTTCGGCCCTCCAATCAAATCCAACTGCTTTGTCTGGTTGGTTACTAATAGGGATCTAAATTAATAGTTACGTACTGTATTATTTTAGTATATGTATTTTATTGCATCCTAATTCTTTGTAAACTAGTAATCCACAAATGATATATATAAGACTCTTTTAAAAAGAATTAATGTAATTAATAATAATAATTAATTGTTATTATTATTAAGGATACTGTACTATTTCCTGACCCTGTTAGGAAAGAGAAAGCTCACTCAATGTATGTTTATACACACACACACACACACACACACACACACACACACGCACGCACTTTATTACTGATAATGTATGGATAATGCCTGTGAGTAGTTTCTACTACTACTACTGCTACTACCCACATTAAGGCAGAGGCAATATCTTCTACATTTCTATGTCTCTTAATTCTGGTCCATGAGTACTGTACTTGAAAAATGCTCAAGACTATGAACATGAATTAGTTCAGTGAATATAGATTATAGGTATGCAGGTATGGACAGAAAAAGGTAACCAAAAGTCCACACACTATATACAAAGAAAGTTTATTATTGACTGGGGCTAATTTTTTGAAAAAAATTAAACCCTACGTGGTTCTTATAAAAAACCAGGTTCCATACGTTTTGGATAGCCTGAAGCAGTCCCATGCAGGCAGTTCAAACGTTATTATGAGGGTCCAGAGCTAGAAGGACCCCAGGGTCATGTACTCCAACCCCCTCATTTTAGAGATCAGGAAACTGAGGCCCAAGAAAATCAAATGATTTGCCCAAGGTCATACAGGCAGTGACAAAGGCAAGATTTGAACCCAGGTCCTTAGACTCTAAGGGAAGAGTTCTATCTACTATACCACACTGCCTCCTACTTTCTCTCTTATAGAATGATTCCTACATGGCTATCTTGATGACCTGGGCTCTTATAGAATCAAAGGATTTAGAGTGGGGCCTTTCAGAGGATCTAATTCAAATCCCTCATTTTACAGATGAGAAATTAGAAACTGGGAGAAGGAAGTGATTTATTTATGGTTATACATAATAAAAAGTAGGAGAGCTAGGATTCAAATCCTCTAACTCTAAATCAGATGCTTATAACACCACATGCTATATATTCATCCCCAATGTCATTCAACTCTGTCCCCCAACCCCAATCCCTTCCTGGGTACCCTTGTAAGTTAAGACAAATGAGCTGCGGTTCCTTGGTTAATTAGCCAATAATCGATTACTCTGATGTAAGGAAGAGAAGAAAAATATCCCTTAATTTTTCACAAGGCAATGTACTAAAGCAAAAGAAACAATGAACTAGGAAAAAGGGTTGAGAACAATACTTATGGCCTCAGAGGTCTGTATAAGGATGTACAGAGTAGGGAGAAGGTAACATTACTTCATGGTAATTACTGGAACTCGGCGGCATGGGACTTATGACTGGACAATGGAGTTTGGAGATGGAAAAATATAACTTGTTCAAAAGAAACAGATCTAATCATAGAAGAGAATGTGTCATGGATGTATGTTCGTATTTATGTTTTGAGCCCATTAGAAAATTCAGGAGTCTAAGAGTAAGAACAGGTTATAAACCACTGAGATAAAGATAAAAGGAGAGAAAACATATTCTATCATAGTAGATGGATATCATCAGATGCCTGGCCACAGACATAAAATATGGATGACTTTTCCCCCTAATATTAATTACCAATATAGATAAATGGCATGATGGTAGTCTTTAACTATCCATATACCTGCTGGGAGTTTCAATCGGCTGAAAAAAAAAAAACAAAACAGAGCATCTCAAAAATTCTTGTCTTGTACTGATGACAATTTAATCTCTCAGAAGGCAGAGGAAGGAATAAGGGAAATTTCTACTTCGGATTTAATTCAAATCAACAAAACAGAACTAGTTGATGGAATGAAAGCAACAGGGACGTTGAAAGAAAGTGCCTGCATCATCTTAGAAAGGGCAAGAGCCAGAGAAAGGAACACTGGGCATAATTAGACAGATGCCCCAGACCTTAAGAAATTAAATTTTTAAAAGTTCTTGGGGGGGGGGGGCAGCTAGAAGGCTCAGTGCCAGCCCTGGAGTCAGGACAACCTGAGTTCAAATCTGGTCTCAGATCAGACACTTGACACTTACTAGCTGTGTGACCCTGGGCAAGTCACTTAACCCCAACTGCCTCACTAAAAAAAAAAAAATTTTTGAAGTTCTTAGGAAAGATAGATTTGCTTCAATGATGATAGACTCTAAAAAGGAAAAAGCACATGGGATTCTTAAATAAATGAAGTTCTGATAATACAATGATTTCAACCATGAAACAATCTATTTTATTACAAAGGAAGATGAGATTTTAAAAGGACACAGCAATGATGGAAGTGGAATAAAAATAAAGATAACCACAAAATAGTGGTCACAGAACTCTAAGAAGTGTCAGGAAAGCTAACGCTTAGAATGAACTGGAAATATTAGGAGAAAAACAAAAGGAATTTTAAGAAAAAGCTATGTTAAGTAGGAATATGGTATAGTAGAAACAGGGCTGGCTTCAGACCCAGGAATGCCTAGGTTCAAGTGTCACCTCTGACACACAATGGCTGTCTGACCCTGAGCAAATCAATGAACCTCACGGTGTTCTAGGAAACTTTCTAAGACCATAAACTACAGAGAAGATAACAACCTACATTGGTGGAGGGAATTTCCCCACCTGGGAGTTCCCTATGCTAATGAAATCATAGGTCTAGTCTCTATTCCTATATTCAAAATCTGAAGAGATAAACCCAGTTGTTGTTCAGACATTTCAGTCATGTCCAACTCTTTGTGACCCTATTTGGAGTTTTCCATTTCCTTCTCTAGCTCATTTTACAGAGGAGGAAACTGAGGCAAAAAGAGTTAAGTGACTTGCCCAGGGTCACCCAGCTCGTATAGTAAGTGTCTGAGGCTGGATTTGAACTCAGGAAGACAAGTCCTCCTGACTCTAGGCCTGGCAGCACTCTATTCACTGCACCATCTAGCTGCCCCTGATAGATGCAGAAATTATTATAAATTCCTTCCCTCCTTCCTTCCTTTCATCCTTCCTTTCTTTCTGTAATGGGTAGAAAAAGAGACTCGATCACCTCAAGTCCTTCCAGCTCTAAAATTCTAAGGATTTAGTCCCGATTTAACTATTCAGAAAGGATCACAATCTTTCTGAGACTCAGTTTCCTTATCTATAAAATGAAAATAACAATATTCACCGTGCCAACCTCAAAAGGATATTATGAGAGACAAATGCCATAATGTGTGAAAGTATTTTGGACAATTCTAAAGTACCCTACAAACAGAAGTGTTGCTATTACTACTGCTTCACTTTGGATGATCGC